TTTCTCCTCCCATTTTGTATGTTACTCTATAGTAACACCTCTGATCTTTAGCTCTTATAATATGACTTAATTGTGTTGCAAGTGCCGTAAAACTCTTACAAAAAGTAAACCAAGCCAAAGCGTTAACAGGCTTGCTAGGTCTTAGCTGTAAGCCAAATTTTTACTTTTCTGTAGATGAAAAAATAAAAGGTCAGATATTCTGAATGACATTTTCTTGAGAGTGTTTATTCTCAGAGTGACGCAAAACCTTTTGAGTAACCCTCCACAACATAAGGGTCTCTGGGCGTAGGTTCCGAATACCTCGAGGACCCTTCACTGGGTATAACATTAGAATATTAATGTATGGTGTGGTTGCGACGGTTTATTTAACCCAGTATCCCTCTCTAAGAGGAAGAGCATTCGAATGTAGTGTATACCCCCTCAAGAGCTGGGGAAAGTGAATAAAGAGTCATTAGAACTCTTAAGAAATATCCAGTTTCAGGAAATAAGAATTGGGCATTCGATCAAGATTCACCCGTACTTAGGTTAGCTCAGCACCATCTGGGCTCATGGCGCCTGGACACAGTGGTACACACGATGAATTTTTTGTCCTCGGAAGTAACCAACAAAAAACGTAATCATGAACAGGTAGACGAGGGTACACCCCAGCCCTCCCCCTTTCTCGTAAAAATTTGATGACAAGCATAAAAACCAGATACAGTAAAGTGCGAGAAACGGCAAACCGTACCAGAAGACCTTTAATGGGGTGGGAACTGGAATAGAGGGAGGTGAGGGGCGGAGGCCTTCTGTTCTATGATGACTGACGACAATGTTAATCAAACCTGTAGAGGTGCTAAAGACCTCCTGATTCTTTACTAAAGTGGAGCTGAAACTCTTCTCGAACAAGTTCTGGTACAAACAGTCATGGCTTTACAGTGGTTGTATTCTCACAGCATGACAACTCGTCCAGGAAGAAGGGTTATATCGTGGGTTTTTTCACTAATATTGCATGCCCCCTTTCATCCACATGCACATAATATGTATTTGTGTCACGACATTGTGTAATCAGGCGCTGGTAAATTTTTGGGAATGTGGAGTTACTGGTACGATCTTAAAGCCTGCTCATTTGACTTGATTATGGTGAAAAAAATAATCATCTATCTTGAACAGAAATCGAGATATACGTATTTGCGATTGAAGGAGGGGGAGGTCGCTTGATGCCAGAAGTAAAATTAGCTAGAAATCGTCCTTAAAGTTCGGTGACTTCCAAAGCTTGAGTGCGATTGGAATCTGCAAATTTAGAGTTTTTGTGCCTTTGCTCAGCGTTCTTCAGTAAAATCTACATGGAATATATTTTTAGATGGACAAAAAAAAGATGTTGAGGGGGAAAAAATCAAGAAAGTTGCCAAAACGGGAAGGAAATTAATTTATCAGATTTCATTATTTTGGCGAGCGTCTGATTCCACCGTTTCTTTTCCTTACAAATTAAGTTTGAAGATGGCTCAAATTTAGTTTACTCAAAATATTAGTATCAAACTACATGTA